ACTTATTTAATTATTTATCAAGATTACTAATGGTCTTTCTGTTATATTTTCTTGTTGGAGAATATTTGATATATTTAAGTGTTTACAAAATTAAAAAATTGTGAAATTATTGGGAAGAAAAAAATTAATTTATACTCCTTTTGGTTTTCGTATTAGTTATTTTACTTTTTATACATTCTTTAAGAAATTTATTAATTTACTCTTTATATTTTTTTTGCAATTTTACAAATTTTGTTTATACTTTCAAAAAGAATTAATTGTTAGGGTAATAAAAATAAAAAACATTGTAGTTTAATTTTGTTAATTGATAAATAATTATAATAATTATTTTTAGTAGTTTAGATAATTAATATAGGATAGAAAAATTTAGGCTAAATTTCATACTTTTAAATTATTTAAAGATAAAAAAAATAGCAAAATTTGAAATAATGGTACAAAAACAAGAAGTCAAAAGGCCAAACACATATACAACCCCTCTAACTTGTCCACATTTTTCATTTTGGCACTTTATCTTAGCCTTATTCCATTTTAACCCTTGGACTCCATTTTTTATGTTCCATTTTAACACGAAATACTATTTTTATGATTTTATAAATATTATTCAATTGCAACTTCTTATTTTAAATCGACATGTGTCATTTAATTTTAGTTAAAAAATTAAAAACTAACAAAAAATAATTCTTTTTAAAAAATAATAATTTCTTTTTAAGAGTGTATGTATTTTGTGTGAAAAATAACCGACGGAATTGTGTTGGTTTTCTTTCTTTAAAATCAGTGACAACCTAACAAAGTTAGTCGAGTTTTAACATTGTTTAGTAGTGTTATTTGCAATAAACAAGAGTCTTTTTTTAGTAGTGTTATTAATAAGTCAGTCGAGTCTTTTTGAAGATGGGTTTTTTTATTCGTATTGATATAATTAAAAATTAAAAGTGAGTATTTGCGTTAAAATTTAGATAGTCTAGATGATAAGAAAAAATAAATAAGTAGTGTTATTTAATTTGATTGAATGTTTAAGAAAGAAAATCAAAGAACTTTCGTCAATTTATTTTCATGCAAAAATACAGAGAAATATCAAAAATAATATTATTGTTTGAAAATTTTTATGTTCGTTCGCGAATGTTTAATTTTTTTAATTAACAGGCACACGTCTATTTTTTAAAATAAGAAATTGCAATTGAAGAACATAATAAAGACAAATCATAAAAATTAGTATAAGTGTTTTAAAATGGTACATAAAAAATGGAGTTTAAGGATTAAAATGGAATAAGGCTAAGTTGGAATGCCAAAATGAAAAATGAGGACAAGTTTGAGGGGCTGTATATGTGTTTGGCCAAGTCAAAAAGTTGAATAATGGGAAAAAGTTAAAAAGTAAGAGAGAAGGAACTTTGGCCCTTTTTTTGGAAAATGGGACCCAAAACTCCATTTGTCAAATTATGAAAGGAGCCTCACACAACTTTTGTACGCCACCGCATACTTATCTCTCAACCATCATAAAATTTTTCCCTCACATGGACCTCTACAATCTTGAAAGTGACTAAACAACTTACACATAATTGTACTATTTCATTATAACTCTCACCCACCCCAAAACTTTTTTGTAGAACAAATGAAAAAATAAGGGAAAATGCATAAGTACCCCCAACTTATGCCCAAAATCCTTGAGACACACCTAATCTTTACTAAGGTTCTATTACCCCCAAACTTACTTTTTAATTAATTTTCTACCCCTTTTCGACTTACGTGACACTATTCTTGAAAAAATTGTCAACATGTGCTGGGCCCACAAGATAGTGTCACGTAGGACCAAAAAGGGGTAGAAAATTATATATAAAATAAGTTCGGGGGGGAGGGGGTAATAGGACCTTAGTAAAGGTTAAATGTGTGTCTCGGGGATTTTGGGCATAGGCTGGGGGGTACTTATGCATTTTGCCAATAAATAAAGACATAATACATAAATATGTCTTTAATTTGACGGCTTAATTTATCGGTGATCTCCTAAAGTTGACACAATATTTCACTTAGATATCTTAACTAAGAAATGTTTATTTTGGACACTTCAGGTAGATCTCGCTATGTTATTTTGACACCTTTCTAATATCAACAAAAACATATCATGTGTGTGTTACACTCACGAATGACGTGTAAAATGACGACATTTGTCATTTGTGTCAAAAGTAATTTAATAATTAATGTTGAGTAAAAATAAAAATTGACCAATAAATTAATGACACATAAAATTTTTCCTCAAATAATTACAAAATAAAATAAATATTTAAACTAACTAAAAGAAGCCCCCTACCCAGTCGCCTGCTCCAAATCCCAACCCCACCCCACCCCGCCCCGATGTCTTCTTCAAACACCCCCCACAAATTATCGAGATAACTTTTATCAATCTTCTAAAATTTACTTCCATGCAAATATTAATTTTTTTTAAGAAAGAATTTTATGAATGAGTTTATTCTTAATTATTAAAAACATTTTCCGTCATTTTTGTTGAAACCTTCATTCACAAAGGATGAAATTTAACTTGGGCAAAATAGTGGTTGAAAACGGAGAAGAGAAAGAAAAAAAAATTAAAATTAACTTAATAACCATTTCACGCGCCTATCAATGAGTGTATTACATTCCTTATGCCATTAAGCAAAAAGTGTCAAAATGACACAGTGAGATTCTTCCTGAGGCATCTAAAATGAACATCGTTTAGTTAAGGTGTTTAAGTGAAACATCGTGCCAATTTTAGGGGGGCAACCGATGGGTTAGACCTAATTTGGCTTTACTAGATATCTATGTCTTCTAACTTTGGATGTGCACAAGTAAATAATTAAATTTGTATAAAATTGAACAAGTAGACACACACATTCTACGCAGCATAATACTTATAGGACAACAAGTAAGACAAAAAATTATCATGTAGGATGTCACGTAAGACAAATATGTTTATTTGTTTAATTTTATATAAATTTAAATGTCTACTTATATACCCTTAAAGTTAAAGGACATATATGTAAGATGAATCCAAGTTGAAAGAGTACTAAAAAGTACTAGTAAAAGGAGAGGCCTTATCACTAATTGTTGTAGAATGGTAATTAATCTTCTTCTTTAACCAAAGATTTCTAGTTCAACTACATACCTTTGGTAGGAAATATATTATCCATGTGAATTCAAATATCGGATATCAGGTGTGAACTCTCCCTCACATGGCCATGTACTATTTTGAAAATGACTAAACAACAAACACATTTTGCCTTTTAACACCAATGACTAATTTGCATGTTAAAAATTGAGACACTTGAATTTGTAGTTTCTACATAAAATTAGTTATTTTTTTTGGATATATTTGTTTTAAAATTAGTATAATATTATATACTAACGCTTAATACTATAAGAAGACTAAGACCTCATTTGTTTGCACTTAACAGAAGTCTAAATGTTAATCATTCAGATTCAGCTCATTAAGTGTGTTTGTTTTTTATGTCTGAATCTGAATGATTCAGATTCACCCTTTAAGTCCATTTGTTTTTTTTTCTTCAAAAAGTCTCTTAATGGACATGAAAAGGTCGGAATGGATCAGATCTGCAGGAGAATCTTAACACCATTCAGACTTATTTAATAAGTTATAAAATAATACTATATCGCCTTTCTTGGTCTTTGTGTGACTTTTGTTCTCTTAACTACAAACTTTCTTTCTCTCTTTTCTCAATCAAACACCATTTTTTTTCCTCCGATAAGTTTTCATAATCTTTACAAGTATTTTTTTTATATTAATAATTTTCATAGGGTGTATTGTTGTTCTTCAAGGTTTTTGAGTGAGAAAAAAATTATTCATAATTAAAAATAATAACTATGTATACATATTTGAGATCTTATTAGAATTTTGTCTTGGGCCAATAATTTTATTGAGACTCTTTGATATATTATTGTTGTTGAACTAGTTGGTGACAAAAATAGGGGAGGTGCGTGCTATCTCCAAAGATTTTGATGGAATAGTAAGTACTCAGTTCTTTTTTAACCAGATATTTCGAGTTCAAATAACATATATACTTTTGGAAGGAAATATTTTACCCCCAAATTGGAACGTTTGAATTCAAATACCAGACATCAGGTGCGAAACCCAAAAAGAAAAAAAAAGGCCTTGAACATCACACAGTTACTGGAAAGTAAAGGTAAGATATTGAATGAAAGCTTAACAAGAGCAATAATAGAGAATTTGGTATATGAGAATGCAAGCAGGAATAGTAGTAATGGGGTCAAAATTAAAGTGGGAGTGTTGATTAGATAACATTTCAAAATGGCAGACACTGAAAAGTAGAAATAAAAGGAAAAGTGTGATATTTGCTTTTGGAATTTTCTCTGCAATTGATAAAGTGAAATAATGGAGAATTTGGTATTTGACAATGAAAACTAAAAAAGCAGTGGGGTAAAAATGAGAGCATTATTAAAGTGGGAGTGTTTGATTAGATAACATTTCAAAAAATCTGATTCCATATGGCAGACAAAGAAATGTAGATAAAAAGTAAAAGTATATGTTTGCTTTTGGAATTTTCTCTTCAATTGATTAAGTGAGTCATGTTGAAGCCCCTGTTCTCTATTATTGAAGTGAACACTATCTTTTTGTTATTTTTCAACTTCTCGGAAATTTCGAAATTCAACTTGAAGTTAAATTTTAGAGTGAGTTTGATGGTTAAAAATTTCATGGCCTAAACAGCCCCTATTCTCACTTTTCTTTCCTTCCTCTGTTTCTTTTACCCTTTCTCATTTGTTAATATCGTTTTTATGGATAGTAATAATAGTATATCTCAACTCTGAGATAGAGGTAAAGCTTGCGTACACTATACCATCTTTAGATTCCACTGTGTGGACTACACTGAATATGTTATTGATTTCAAATAGATTTATCCTTAATAATGGAAATATAGAAATAATTTCACAATCTTCTTCACCTATTAGAATTTGAGATTCAACAATTCAAAGAAAGATAATATACAATTAGTAAAGCACCCAATTCATACGTTTAATCAAAAGAAGAATACTTTTTCTAAGATGTAGTCCCTTTTAACCTGTCGTTAATTGGACTTGGGTCCCAAATCAACCTTTGTGAGCTGCCTTCCAGTTCTATTGCTTCTTCTCCACTCAATAACTGGTTGTATGACATTGGGCTATGAAATAGTTGTCTTATTTGTTATATTAGTACGTTGTTTGTAAGTGGAAATCTGGATTATTCCTACCTTCTAGGTTTTTGATTTAATTCTGCATTTTTGTTGCAAGAAAAGATAAGCATTCCTCTTTCTGTATCTATAAAGAGTTTAACTTTGGTGTATAACTCTAGTGTTGCTTATTGGTTAGTGTTTTGGTTTTTATTTAATACTGCATTTGTTATGGTACAGAGTGAATTAGGGCAATATAACAGGATGACAATGGTATTCAATTTGTTCGAAAAGACACAAAGGTAGAATATTATATTAAGCTTTCTTGCCTTGTTGATTTGAGTCAGTTAAATTTGGTTTCCGTTACGTACTTGTCAATGATATATGCTTGCCATAGTTAGGTTTAAGAAAATTGTTTTTAATTAGCTGGACTCATTGTTTTCAGTGACGAAATCACAAGATAAGTATTCCCGTAAATCTTTGACTTGTTAATATCAAGCTATAGTGCATATGTTCTTGTTTGAGCAGGGCTAAGGGTAAACTACTTACGCAAATGATCCATAAGCTATATTACTCTGTGTGAGCTCTTGGTTAGGATAGCTTGAGAATTGAAAAAAATATATCTTCTTTGTGCTAAAATTAGTAGGGGAAATACTGATTAGTGATTACTTGGGGGAAACTGATTCATATAAGTCACAAGGAAATGAATTGTTCTAAATTCTTGGCTGTTTATCAAGTAAAGGAAAAGCTTTATGTGTTTTTCTCTCTGTGCAGATCTTTCGGTTCTGTAGGTCTAAGTGCCACAACAACTTAAGATGAAGGGGAATCCTCGTAAAGTTAAATGGACTAAAGCGTACAGACGGCGGCATGGAAAGGACATGACTCAGGTAAACAGGGTCGTGTCGATACAATTAATATGCTTTTTGTTGGATTAAATTTGGTCTAATGCTCTTTCTTCTTTTTTGTTTTATTCTATTTTGGATACTGAAAATTCCTTTCCTGCTGCTAATTTTCATTTAAAGGACTCAAACATTTGAATTCGAGAGGAAGCGTAATAGGCCAGAGAGATATGACAGGAATGTAGCTGAGAACACTTTGAAGGCCTCAAGAAAATTGATAAAATCAGAGTTGACAGGGAGGAAAGACATATTACAAGGAGGTTCCTTAGACTGTGCTTCACTAATTTCCGTTACTTCTAATTTATCATTTTCCTTTTCTTGCTATTAACATTAGTTGGCAAATCATACAGGATGAAAGGAAAGAAAGCCAAGGAGCAGAGAGAAGCAACAAAGGAGCTCCAGCAGAGCATTCACATGGTCAAAGCTCCTTCTGTGCTCATCAAAGAGCCATCACTTACACTGCCTACCAAGGTCAAGGTTTCGCAAAAGCTGTCACGCCCCGAACCTACACCCTGGGCGGGACCGGCACTCGGAGACCATTGCTGGCCTCAAACGAACCCTTGGCCTGGCTTTCTTAACTCAACGGAAAAAAAACCTGACTCAACAGAATAACTCAATGCCATGCAAAGACATAAACAACTTAACTGATAAAAATATGGCCCAAAGAGCAACTCGAGTCTCAAAATAGAATATTTACATATACATACATATACATGGATGAGAGACTCAAAACTACTGACTGTCTGACTGTCTATGAAGCCTCTAATATACTGAGATGGATGTGGGGACAGACCCCGCAACATCCTAATAGAACAAAACTAAGTACACAAAATAATTGAGTCCTCCGGAATGCAAGGAGGCTCACCACATACTCTGGAGTGCTCAGCTGGATCAACGACGTGCAGGATGCTGATCCGGGGTACCTGTATCTGCATCATAAGACGATGCAGGCCAACTGGCATCAGTACATGGAATGTACGAGTATGCGAGCTGGAAATACTAAACCACAACTTAAGCTTGAAAGGAGCACAAAAGAACACTCACCTTGACTTTGAACGACTCAAATAAAATAATTGGGCTCAAAGTAAAGCAATAAGACACATGCAATACATATAAAGCTTGTGAAAACAATGTGAACAACTTAGTTCGTTAAGGATAAAACGATAACAAACTCACTTTACTTATATAGAAGTAACATAGCTTTTGTGGGAGGTTCTTTAACCGACAACCAC